AATGTCCTCTACAATAGTGCATTTCGTGGTCCGGACTTCGGACTGCCGACTGTTTGGCACAAACCGATGGTTCTCAAATGTTGTTGGCGCCTGTTTCGACCGTCTGCACAACTCGTGTCCGAGTTCATTACCACTCCAGAATAGGGACTGCCTCGCCCTGTCAAGTCCAAGCTGCGTGGGTAGTCTCCAGTGTTGTCTCACTGGGCGTTTCGTCGTCATCGTGTTCAACACGATAACACGATAACACGATAACAACGACTGCCTTAAGCTATCGTGTTCGGATGTGTTCGACACAATCTCTACTGCTGGCCCATATATGTCCGAGTTCGTTAGCATTCCAGAGTACTAGAGACTGTCTCGACCCCTGACCGGACATAATGTGCGCAGTGGTCAGGCGTCTACTAATAGTGAAGATGCCTCGAGCTCCTCGGGATAACAGTGAAGACTAACTCACACTGTCAATTGCCTAACCAGACATATGTCCGCAGTGGTAGGACCTCTACTAATGGCCTTTTCGACCGTCTGAAGAATTGGTGTGTGCCCTGTGCTCTTTCTGCTCTGTGTCCTCTATAACAGTGCATTTGGTGGTCAGGACTTCGACAAGGCGACTGTTTGGTACAAACTAGTGGTTCTCACAGGGCGTTCCATCGTTACTGCTGTCTGTTCTGCATACTGGACAATGCCTCGCGCTATCGTGGTCGGACGTGTTCGACACGATCGCGGCTACTGGTGGCTCATATGTGTCCGAGTTCGTTACCAGTCCAGAATACTAGAGACTGTCTCGCCCTGTCAAATATTATTGTAAGGGACGCGACAGCTTCCACCTTCTCCGGCAGCAGTGTGTCCTCGAAGGCTGTTGTCCTATGGAAGACAGTTGTTTCCATTTTTTTTTTAAAAACACAATGTCATTATTCGTTGACCATATGTTGCTCCACACTTCGAATTGCCGACTTGTTAGAGTTGATATGGAAGGCTTTATGATTGGTCATCATGAAGATGTATGGTCTACTGGCTAAATGAAAACAATCCGTTCACATTATGCGTGTCGTCATACCTCGTTTGCCATATTTTCATGAATATAAAATTCGTTGCAGAACACTATCGTGGCAAGACTTT